GTAGATATCAGAAAACTGCAGTTGAAATGGGTTAGAGGGAAGATGGGTCTAGTTAGTCAAGAACATGCGTTGTTTGGGACTTCAATAAAGGAAAATATTATGTTTGGGAAGCTTGATGCCACCATGGATGAAATCATTGCTTCAGCCATGGCTGCAAATGCTCATAATTTCATAAGACAACTTCCAGAAGGTTATGAAACAAAGGTAAGTGGCTCTTAAATTTCATCATGAGTAAGTTGAAGAAAATTTAGTCTTCACTAATTAAGATAATCAGCTGGTGTAATAGGTTGGTGAACGTGGAGCACTTTTATCAGGTGGACAAAAGCAGCGAATTGCTATTGCTAGAGCCATCATTAAGAACCCTGTGATTCTCCTACTTGATGAAGCAACAAGTGCTCTTGACTCTGAATCAGAAAAATTGGTGCAAAATGCCCTTGATCAAGCCTCTATGGGAAGAACCACACTGGTAAATTTGACTAATTTAACTGATATTGGCTACTATATATTACAATAAATAGGTCATTTATAATGTTTGTATACAGATTATGCAATTGCATCATTTTTCTTTTTAACAATTGTTTGATATGTCAGGTAGTAGCACACAAGCTTTCAACAGTGAGGAATGCAGATCTTATAGCAGTCGTAAGTAACGGTTGCATCGTCGAAATAGGCTCACCCAGTGAACTCATCAACAGAACAAATGGCCACTATGCAAAAATGGCAAAAATGCAGAGACAATTCAGCTGTGACGACCAAGAACCAAACCCAGAAACGCATTACTCATCAGCGGCAAGAAGTAGTGGTGGCCGGCTTAGTACATCAAAATCGAGCCCGGCTGTGTTTGCTTCACCACTATCCGTTATTGATAGCCCACAGCCGGTAACTCACGCGCCACCGTCCTTCTCTAGGCTTCTCTCTTTAAATGCGCCTGAATGGAAGCAAGGTCTTGCTGGAAGCCTCTCAGCTGTAGCCTTTGGCTCAGTGCAGCCTATTTATGCCCTAACCATCGGTGGCATGATTTCAGCTTTCTTCGCAAAAACCCACCAGGAAATGCAGGCTCGAATTCGTACATATTCCTTAATTTTCTCTTCTCTTACCTTGATTTCTCTTGTTTTGAATCTTGTGCAACATTACAATTTTGCTTATATGGGTGAACGGCTAACGAAGAGAATCAGGATAAGAATGCTTGAAAAGATTCTGACATTCGAAGCCGCTTGGTTTGATGAAGAGCAAAATTCCAGTGGAGCTTTGTGTTCGAGATTGAGTAATGAGGCTTCTATGGTCAAGTCCCTGGTTGCAGACAGAGTATCCTTATTGGTTCAAACTACTTCTGCCGTTACCATTGCGATGATTTTGGGGTTAGTTGTGGCTTGGAAATTAGCAATAGTTATGATTGCGGTCCAACCTCTCACGATTCTGTGTTTTTATACTCGAAAAGTATTGCTCTCAAGCGTTTCAACCAATTTTGTGAAGGCACAAAATCACAGTACTCAAATTGCTGTGGAAGCAGTGATTAATCATAGAATTGTGACTTCATACGGAAGTTTGGGAAAGGTTCTTCAACTTTTTGATGAGGCTCAAGAGGAACCCAGAAAGGAGGCAACGAAAAAATCATGGCTTGCTGGAATTGGTATGGGGTCTGCTCAATGCCTAACTTTCATGTCATGGGCTCTGGATTTCTGGTATGGTGGTACTTTGGTGGAAAAGGGAGAGATTTCAGCAGGGGATGTGTTTAAGACATTTTTCATATTAGTAAGCACTGGAAAGGTTATAGCTGATGCAGGAAGCATGACTTCTGATATAGCCAAGGGCTCAACCGCAATTGCATCCGTATTCAACATTCTTGATCGCCAATCTCTCATTCCAGGCTCTTCACATGTAAGTAACATACACTTTATCCAATTTTACTCTTTCAATTGAAATGGTAGCCTCAAGTATTACTTTGATAGATGGGTTTGTAAATTTTATCAGGCAGGGGAAGGGTCAAGTGGAAGCAAGTTAGAAAAAATGGCAGGGAAGATAGAGATGAAAAGGGTTGATTTTGCATACCCAAACAGGCCAGAGAACCTTGTGTTGCGACAATTTTCCTTGGAGGTGAAACCAGGAACAAGTGTTGGACTCGTAGGAAGAAGTGGGTGTGGAAAATCAACCGTTATTGGATTGATTCAAAGATTTTATGATGTTGAGAGGGGGTCAGTGAAAATAGATGGGGTAGATGTAAGGGAGCTAGACGTTCAATGGTATAGAAGATACACGGCGGTTGTCAGCCAAGAGCCAGTGATATATTCAGGCAGCATTCGGGATAACATCATGTTTGGGAAGCTTGATGCTTCAGAAAATGAGGTGGCGGAAGCTGCTAGGGCTGCAAATGCTCATGAATTCATTTCGTAAGTATGCTATGCAAGCTTTTAGTGTTTGAAAATTAACCTAATCTGATTGTTTTTGAGCTAATTTTTTACTACATCATGTTATTTTGTTGTAGATCACTAAAAGATGGGTATGAAACTGAATGCGGTGAAAGAGGAGTTCAATTATCAGGAGGGCAGAAACAAAGAATAGCAATTGCAAGAGCTATAATCAGGAACCCAACAATACTGCTACTAGATGAGGCAACCAGTGCTCTGGATGTGCAATCTGAGCAGGTTGTGCAAGAAGCGTTGGACCGAATTATGGTGGGAAGGACAACAATTGTGGTAGCTCATCGACTCAACACCATAAAAAAGCTTGATTCCATTGCCTTGGTTGCAGATGGGAAGGTAGTGGAACGAGGAACCTATGCTCAACTCAAACACATGCGGGGTGCCTTCTTTAACCTCGCCAGCCTTCAATCATAGAGATACAAAAATGGCAAATGGGGAGAGCTTGTTGTTGAATTTATGTCCTATATATGCCAGACTATATTCCAAACCTCCCAGTTAAAAAACCTGTATAGTGTTAAATATATCAGTGTAATTACACTAAGAGTTGTGATGAGCAGACTGGACGGTTGTTAATCAGTACTAAGCTTCAATCTTTCATAACCCATTTGTCAATGATTTGTTCAATGTTGGAAAATTTCTTAATTATGGGCTAACATGAATTATATTTTGATCTAATCAAACTGGACAAATACATAGTTCAATGAGATATCCTAATAAGCTTATGTGATAATTCCAAAATTTGCCTAATAGATTCATTTTGAATAATCTGGGTTTGACGACTAGTGTAGGTTTGAGGCTATAATAGGCTTTAGGGTTTATTAGGTCTTTGATGGGCAGACCCAATAGACTAATATATAAATTGGTTAGGTCCCATTTTCAAACGCAATCTGAGTAATTTAGTTAACCCATTTGTTAGTCGCATTAAGCGTGCGTTATTGGAAAGAAAGACTTACGCTTTTTGTGACATATAAAAAACTGCCGCTTCTTCTATAAGGTATCCAAGAATGACAAATCATAAATAAATCAGGTTTGTCTTAGACTTTATACTCTTAATTCAATATTTTATAATCCATATGTTCATCTTTTGCCATATTGATAATCATATTGTTTGATTTATTATTGATAGAATGATTTATTAACGTTTTAATAGACAACCCATAACTTGTTACATTAAAAAGGATTTGGTAAAAGAGTAAATGACACATACCCACCCAAGGTTTGATGAAATCCCAGTTGGTACCCATGGTTACATTTATTCCAGATTCTCACCCTTAAAGTGGCGGCAAAATGTTTGATGTAACGGTAAAGGGGTAAATTGGTCATTTTGCATGGACAGCACACGTTAGTAGATCGTCACCTCTAACAGTCCTCCAACGCATGTTAGCAGACAGCATCCCCAACATTTTTCGCCCTTTTTCTGGCAATTCTTCCACCCAAAATCACCTTTGTCACCACCATTTGAACCCTCATCTTCTCTTTTACAAAAAATTACCCTTCAAAACCCCTCATCACTCGTCGATCGCTAGCCATGATAGTTGTGACATGCAATTGGTTTTTGCCGATTTTTAGTTGTTTTGAACAGCGAAAACCCCAACCACCACCACCATTTGACTCCTCACATCCTCCCCTACAAAACCCCTAACCTTCCCAGCCACGACAACTCATCGTTTGTCGTCCACCACTTCACCAGAAAACGATCGATGAACACGAACTCTTGGCTAGCGAACGACAACTAAACGGTTATTGAGGACATAGGGGTTTTATAGAGTTGGAGACGTTGGTTGCAATGGTGGTGTCTAATTGGATTTTTTCCATCGGAATCGACCGAAATCTAGCAAAGAACAGCGAAACCCTAAGCCTAACGACGCTGGCTATTTGAGGGGCCAATGAGTCAGGAACCAGAGGGGTTTTGGACGACAGACTATGGGGAAGGTGATGGAGGTGACTAGGGGGTTTGACGCCATCGAAAACATCCCAGATTAGGCAAAAGTTGAGGGGGTGTGAGTGACCGAGGGTGTTATTGAGATAATTTGAAAATAAAATGGTAAGTTATAATTCTACTAATTTAGGGGTTAAAACTTAATTTTTTTTAATTTAGGGTTAAGGGTATTATGAAAATTGCACCCTCTATACCTTAAAAATTGATAACAGTGTTATTTTAAAGATTGAAATTTAAAATAAATGAAACTAGGGTACCAACCCAGATTTCATCAGAGCTTGGGTGAGAATATATCGTTTACTCTCGGTAAAATGAGAAGGTTTTCATAACAGAGATTGAAAATTTTATTATAACATAGAGAACTGACACAAAGCACCCTTCAGTTCAAAATGAAAACTGAAGCTGACAAGACGCTGAAAGAAACGAAGTACGACTCGAGGTTATCCAAAACATAGATAACCTTTTATTACATAACAAGACACAGGAATTCAGTTTACCAGAAACCACCTAGAAAATCTAGTTGTCAGCCCATTACAAATCTAAATTCCGACAGACACTAAACTGGAAACCAAAAACATAAAACAACACCAGCATAACTGAACTTCAAATAAGCCGACTGTCACCGCGGGCTCCTGATTCCTTCATGGATCAACTTGTGCCACCAGCTAAGAAATTCATATTATAATATTAAAAAAATTAAAAAGTTAATGAAATGATGTTTCATTTATAATCAAAATTAAGCTATATCAAATTAAAGACAACTGTGTTTATGGATAAACTTAAACCTCATAGTAGGTCTCGAGTTTGGCCTTGAGAGAGTTGATCTCCATTCTTAGCTCCTGCAAGGAGGCCCTGGCACTGCCCACACTCAACCCAACGTCAATAATTTCATATGCAACCTTATTTAATTTATATATAGTTGAAAGTGTTTTGAAAATAATGTTAAGATGTAGACATGTAAAAGCATTTCATTATTTGAAAACTTTTTCAAAACAATGTCAAAACTACTATATGTCTGTTCATACATATTATGGGATAATATTTTAATTAGATAAGAGTGAGAAAATCACCCTTCCATATCTCCTTCCTTGCAATCTTCTCTTGTTCTGTTAACTGCAATCTTGACTTTGTTGGCACCAATGCTGCAATTTATGACAATCAAGAGTCAAGTTTATGTATATTTTTATATTTATTTAAGATGATTTTGTAAGAATGATCTAAAACATTTCTTGTTTTCATTTACCTGGCGCTGCCACCTTTGAGCTGATGAAGGTACCTGTCTAACTTAAGGTAATCGACAGGAGATTTGTTCCTGTATCATCGATCAAACCCATTATTAATTGTAGTTTTTTCATTATATATAGAAGAAAATTTGATATTGTTAAACTTACATTTCTTCCTCAATGATAGCTAAATGGTTGAAGGAATCACTAAAGAACACGCTGACGACTTCCTCAACGAAATTAGGATTATCTTCGTTTTCCAGTTGTTCGAGTTGAATGAAATAGTTATCCAGAATTTCCTGCAATAAGAAACATAGAAATCTTCCCTTATTAACTTGGCTTTCGTCATTTTAACTCTTTTATGTGTGCGTCAAAATCATCAAAATTCAAATTTCATGTTCCTAAATAAGACAATAATTATTTTTTCCAAAATAAAAAGCAAATGCATGCATTTAAATCGTATTACAAAATCATTTATGTAACCTTCACATAAACATTAATGTAGTATAAGAATTTCCATGAAAAATATGATAAAGATAATTAATTAATAAAGGTGACAAATTTTATATAATCTATCCATTTTGCTAGGAAGATAAACACTTCCAAAAATCTATTTTTCTTGTACTAAAATGGCTGGCAGGAAAATGAACCAGTGGGGGAGAGAGAGGAACCTCATCGAAGAAGGATTGCCTCATTGCAACAACCTGTTCTTTCAAATCCGCCATTCTGAACGGAATCAAAATAATGTTAGCAACGCTAAAGGAGGAATATCAAAAACTGAAAGTGATTAAAAACAAATGAATATTTCAAAACAATTTCTTCAACTCAAGTTAAGAAGAATTGGAAAAAATTTACTTAGAGAGAAAGTGATTGAAGTTTTGGATGCAAAAATGACAAGCCAAATGGGAGTATATAGAGCCAAGAAGAAAACTAACAAGAGTCAGCCTATGTATGAGCATACCATTCTTCATTCTGAACACTCAGATTACAGTATTGATTATTAGAAATAATCAGTTGTAGACAATATAAACTTGTTACTCATATTACTTTAACGATAGTGGACACGTTGCACCATAATAACCGAGTGATTTGTGATTAAAGGAAACTAATAACTTGATTTAGAATCATATTAAAACTAATAACACGTGGTGAAGTAAGCGGTTGACGCGTAACCGTTAGCATTCTAATACTTTTTTATACGAAAACATTGAAGTATTTCTCTGTAAGTAATGAACTTAGAATTTTAAATCTTTCTCAAAAGAGTCTCAGATTTTATATCTATGACTGTAGATATTGAATTTAATGAATTGGATTCTCTAAAATTTCCATGTTATAGTTAAACAACATACAGGAGATTACCTTTCCAAAACTTAAATCACTCTGTGGATTATACTCTTATATTACTAAATACCACTTACAATTGAAAGTTTTAATACCAGTTGTAGCTTGCTAGTTGTTTTGGAAGATTATGATAAGTAGTGGTATTAGAAATAATAATATTATACGTAATGTTGTAAGAAAGTTGTTATATTAATCATAAAATATAAATTTTAAAAAGAACTACTTCTCTTAGAATTTGGACTTCAATTCTTCAGAAAACGAAGAGTTCATTGAAAGATCAAACTTTTATTTAATATACTAATCCCAATTTTAATATATTGAGTGAGATTTGATTTTAAGACATCTTGTTAATCACAAAATATTTTAAACAACTAACTACTAGTGTATTAATACTTGAGTCATTTCTATTTTCAATTTCTCTACTCGATTAATTATTTTCAGTGATCTAAAAGACTACCTATGTGTTAAATGATTTTCATTTCAATTTGAAGCAAAAACATTGTTAACAAATTAAGAAATTGTGTACAGTGAATATATACTTGCGTACTTCTTAAAGTGTTAATAAAGATAGTCACTGAAACTTTTATCTGATCGATAGTTTCAAGCCTGAGAGATTAGTTGAGATACAAGTAAACTAGTCCGAACACCCGGATCCTAATATATAATATAATATATTATATATATTAGTAGATATATATATATTATATATATATATTATATATAATAATATATATATCATATATATATATATATATTATGATCCGGGTATATAGAGTAAGTGACTTTTTCCTAATCAAATAATAGTTTAATGGCGTTTTCTCACCCACATCCTTCTAAAATATCATTTTACTATCTAAATTTACATTCTGTTTCCGATTCTGACATCGTTGCGACCCTACACCACCACCATTCTCTTCCCCAATCATCACTCATCAAAGCCCCTCAAACTCTATTCCCGTCGACCCCGCTAATCGCCCGCAATAGAGCGATTAGAGTTTGCACAACCATCCCTCTCAAGTCAAATTCCGATCAATCTTAATCACCAAAACCTAATCTTCTACCATCAAAAGACTCATCGACCTCCCCCCTTCAAAAACTCCAATAGTTTGGATCGAGTTTACTCTCTGTTCACCGTCGGAATATAAATTTGGGTATTAAAGTAATATTTTAAAAATCTGTGGGTGGGAAAAAGTCATTAACTCAAATATATAAACGTGATTTGCGATAGTGTTTGCTCCCAGTTCAAAAATATTTACGGTTGTGTTTGTTTTGTTATTTCTACACTATCCTATCCCTATCTTACCCAAAATATATATTTGTTTCCCTATTCTGAAAATTCAATTCTATTTTATTCAATTACTTTTAAACCCCCTAGGTTTGTTAATTTAACTAAATACAAAAAGAAAAAAAATTAGAAATCGACAAAAACACCCACACCCACCCACATTTGCCAGATTCTGGCCACCACTGTTGGGAGGTGACTGAAATCTAATGTAATGACGCACTACTAGCTAAATCTGGCTGCTAACACGTCGATTTAGCCATTTCTGGTGGATCTGGCCAAAAAGACTAGATCTACGACCAAAGATCTGGCCGTTGACAACCAAATATTTGGTCGTAGCTAGTCGTCAACGACGGTCAAATCTTGGCTATCATTAACGACCAAACGTGACCACATCGACACACGATCGACCAGATCCAATCGATTGTACGCCATTACAACGACTGTCGACCACCCTCCAATGGTAGTGGCTGACTATCGACATTTAATAGATGAGTGGAGGTGTTTTTGTTCATTTTTAATGTTTCATTGTAGTAATGTTTAACTAAATTAACAAACCTAAAAAGAAGTTTTTGCTAATTTTCAAATCATATCCGATAATAATCACTAAACTAAATTTTTTCAAAAATTCTATCCAAATAATAAAACAAACACACATTCTAGATTAAAAATTACTGTAGATTAAAATTACTGTAGAAACCATTTATGCAACGGCTGTCCTAATAAATGAAGAGATATTCGACACCAAAATAAATTAATTAATAAATATGAGAAGAAAAGGGGCAAACTTCAAAGCTTCGTTGTCACAGCTTCTCACACAAATAAACTACATATATAAATTAAAAGACCAATATTTTCTGCAGATACAACATGCTTTTTTCTCACCAATACCAGTTTAAAAATATAAAATTATAGTGCTATATATAAATAAAGAAGAAATTAATTAATAAATCCCTTCACGCTTGAGCTGAAGGAAGAATTGGAGCTGAAATTGGAGATAGAACACAAGACAATGGTTCAGAAGAAAGATATTTAGCACCGTTTTTATCCTTCTAGCTTGTCTTCATATTCATGTATATACTGGAACACCTCTAATTTGTTTTTAATACTTGGTATTTAATTTGCCTTGACCAAACCGACAAAAATTGAGGATTGATCTACCGTTTTGTAGTAACAATCCTATTACGTTTGTTACTAAGAAACAGTGTTATTTGGCGGTCAGCTCTGTACAGGTCAAGAATGGCAGCTGAAGGAGGAACATGCTGTCCTATGGGGTGTATCGTCACTATGTCATCCTGCAAACCTCATCTCTGAATTAACTTCAATGGGTCAAAGAGAAATGGATTTGAAGTAGGAGAGAGAGAAAATGGTTGCATTACTCCCTTTTTTTTTCAGTGTCTTTTCTGGCGCCTTCTCCTGGGTTTTAGATCAACAACAATGATAGAAATGTTATCAGAACTGTTTTTTCCATACGCTATATCCTTGAGATTATCAGCCACGGCTTGTGCCGGAGAAACCTCTTCATTTATCATCCTGCGTCTCCGTCTTAGCATGCGACGAGCAACCTCTCCAACCTCTTCGTTTGTCATGACATCCCAAAGCCCATCACTTGCCAATATCAGACACTCATCCTCATCACTTCTTGTCACGAAAGTTATCTCTGGCACTGGAATTATCCATGGCCTTAAGTACCAATCACCTGCCCACACCATTAACTAATAAGTACTATAACTAACAACCCAATCATCTCCTGTTCACAAGTCCCATTTCTTTAAAAATAGAATAGAAACCAGTAGCATTTTAATGTTAAGTGCTCAGAACCCAACAAACAAACAAACAAGCCTATCATGGACGCACGTTTCAATTTCCTACTGTAATATATAGTCCACCATCTGAAATGATAAACCCAAGCAAACATTATCAGAGGCTTCAAGTAATATGAACCAACAACTAAATCCCTATTAAAACAGATGGTCGTACTAATAGTAATGGTGGTTTTGTTGACAATAATCTTCATGCATGTGTTTTAAATTTGTTGTTTATTCATTTTCCTAAATGTCAACAAAACGTAATTAGATTTCTTGCGATGATAAGAACCACAAAACGTCCACATGAGCACAAGATGATGCAAGGGAAATAAGAAAATGGGGGTCCAGGTGCCAAAGCGTAAGACACCGAGGAGAAATGCATATCACTATTAGAACTTAAGGCATTCTAACACGCTTATGAACTAGCTTCTCAAATTATTAACAGTCACTTTGTTTTGTCTTTTCCAGAAGATCACTTAAAATTTCAACACTAATGGTGAAGGAAAGAGCTTAGTTATGCACATCCTGATGATGGTGGTGGTGGAGAGAGCAAAAAGTTATATGCTTTTTATCAATGATACCATGGAAGCCAAAGCTTCCAAAATTGCTGAGCAAGAAATCTGAAAAAAGTGTGAGGAATAGAGTTAAAAAGAAACCTATAGCTCTGGACATAGCAAGAACTCCAAAAACCCTAGCACCATTCCAGTTTATGACTTTCCCTCCCTCTCCTTCGATTCTCAAGAGTTCGTCGTGCCTATCAGGCTGTAAAACCAACAAGAACAATATCTTCTCAGCTCTATGAATAAAACATACTTCCGAGAAAACCATAACTTGTCAATAATTACTAAAGGGGCTTCTTCATTCTTTTTAAGCCCTTCATATATATGTATAATAAAATTCATACCATGTACTACTCAGGCTACATTTCCTTGGACCAAATATGTTTTAGTTATTAAAATTGGTATTTTTTTTTTTTAGCGTGAACATACAACATTAAAGAAGTGTGTCAATAAAATAAATCCAGCAAAAACAAGTAAATAAGATGGAACATCCTGGAAGAAATTAAAGAGAGAGAGCAAAAAGAATTTTGATATGACCTTCTGATCGACGGTCAAGGTAGTTGTTTCAGTCCCCGACACACACAGCCTTGATTCGCCACAATGGATGTAATAATTGGCAACCGATAGAACCGTAACTACAGCAGTTGATCCAACCATTTCTGGTGCATAAGCTTCCGTAAGGACCTCATTGTCAGTCCTCTTAAAACCACTAGAAATGCCATTTCCCATTTCTT